GCCAAGATCGCACTGCTGGGCTCCAGCCTGGGTGACAGAGACTCTGTCTCAATAAAAAAAAAATTCAAAAAAAGAAATAATGATCCCCTCCAGCCCCCAGAACACACACTAGCCTTTCCTTTTTGTCACAGCGCATGAAAAGCATCCACTCTGACGTGGGGAGACATGGAAACGGGAAGTGAACGCTTGTGAAGTGACTCTCCGTTTGACAGGTGTTTTAAAAGCCTCCAGCAGTGACTAAGTGTTTGTGGATGGACATCCGTGTGGGTAAATGAACCGGTCCAAGTCAGCAGAGGAGCTGAGTCTCAGAGGGGAGTCGCGCCCTGCATGGAAAGCTCTGCAGCAGTGCGTGGCAGTCCTGTCGGTAGGTTCCCGTGGGCTCCTTGCATTCTCAAATGCAAGGAATTGTTTATCTAATTCAATAGACACATTCCCTGTTTTCATTTAGACTTCAAGAATTTCATCCTCTTCCTTTAAGCCCTTTTTAAAATTTGGAGTTGAGGCCGGGTGTGGTGGCTGACACCTGTAATCCCAGCACTTTGGGAGGCCGAGGTGGGTGGATCAGGAGTTCGAGACCAGCCTGGCCAAGATGGTAAAACCCTGTCTCTACTAAAAATACAAAAATTAGCCAGGTGTCATGTGGCTGGCTCCTGTAATCCCAGCTACTCGGGAGGCTGAGGCAGGAGAATCGCTTGAAACCGGAACGTGGAGGTTGCAGCGAGCCAAGATGGCACCATTGCACTCCAGCTGAGCAACAAGAGCAAAACTCCATCTCAAAAAAAAAAAAAAAAAAAAATTGGGAGTTGATAGCATTTATTAATTTTGAGAATGAAAATGTAAAATGTAAGCATTATAGAAAACCTGAGTAACACTATTTATTTTGTACATCAAAGTCGTCCATCAATCATTGCAGTATAAAATGCTCCAGGTGTGTTTCCACGTGGACTGGACTCTTAAAAATAACCGTGTCATACGATCGAGCGGTGATTAAAGCTCACGTAATTAGGGCTAAGTCGTTCCCATCGGGAGTGGCTATTGTGGGACCTGTACCTCGGGCCAAGGGATGCCCTGGGCTCTGTTGTTGGGGCAGAGGAGGGAGCTCTGCTGGGCGCACTCTCCTTTGCCCTCTTTAGGCATTGCTCCTGCTCGGGGGTCCGTGACAGACATCAGGTTGTACCATCAAGAGCCCCACGCGAAACTGCCTCCATGTGATGCAGGCGGGAAGGCGGCTAGAGGATGGCAGGAATGAAGAGGAGACACCCCCCTTCCGGCAGGGGCTCCCTGCAAGCCCCAGGAGGCCGCCTGGAGTTGGGTTGGCATGGCAGCTGGCACAGCTGCTGCCCCCACCCTGCCCATTCGGTAAAGGTCTCGAGCCCTCACAAGGGGGCGCCCAAGAGGATGGCCACCACCCACCCAGAGGGGCACAGGTCAAATGTGGTGGAAGTTTGATCTCACTTCAGATTAAAAAAAAAAAAAAATCGCCTGTTCTTGCAGCTTCCCTCCCTCTTTCCTTCCTGCTCTCCTGTACATCTGCCTGTGTTAAGCGACCCTGAGAAAAGCGTGTTCTCTGCCTCTTCCAACCCGGTCCATTTCCTGTGGTTTCTGTGACTCGCCTGTTCCCAGGGGCCTCCCCAAGGTGGGCAGAGCACAGGGAGAAGAAGTCGCTGAGCACCGGACGCAGCTCGGCCCTGGCCTGCCCGCTTCTCCCTGACCACAAGACCAAGCCCGGCTGCACAAGCCCCATCCTGTTAGAAGGCGCAGTGGCGCTCCTACGTGAGAAAGCGTTGGAAGAAACAGTGAAAAATTCACTGCCTTCTGCTGCTGAAAGTCTGACCGCAGGGGGCGGGATGTCGGCTTCAGACTGGTTCCCACGCTGCCCCCAGGAGCCGTCAGCCGCGCTCATCACCTTTGTCCACGTGCCAGGCGAGTGGGCGCCCGCAGGTGCCACCAGCGTGCAAGAGTCAGGGCTGAAAAACGCGTTCCCATTCATTCCCGCCGGTCACAGACCACCAAAGGAAGCCCGTGAAATAGACTCACAAAGCTTGGTGAGGGCCCTTGAACCGAAGATGGTCTTAGACTAGCCGGGGACACACACGTGTTGGCCTTTGCTGAAAAATGACGTTTCAGTCATACTGGATCCAGAAAACCAGGCACACTGTGGCGGGCAGAGCACCCTGCCTGAGAGAGAAGATGCACACTGGGCCCATAGTCAGCAGAGCCAGAGCTCTCGGCAGCAGAGGAGCACCACGTTGGAGCCAGGTTACTCCGGGACTGGCTCAGTTTCCATGTAACGGAAGTGCGTTCAAAGCCTGAGGAGCCTCCGTGGTGGAATCTGGCGGGTGTTCTCTCTGGTTAATCTCGCGAGAGCTTGGGCGCCTCCGAGAGAGGGCGGGAGGTTAGTCGGGCCTGGCTGCCGTGGACACTCCGGGAGGGCTGTTCCTGCACAGCCGGGGAAGGTGGCTGCCCGCCATGTTTGCTCGGCTCCAGTGAAAATTTGGATTGCCTCATCATCGTCGCGGGAACACTGCAGCGGGGAGAGAGTTAGACTGAACGCGCGGTGACCTCAGGATGCTTCTTGGAAATTGCTTTTTAAAATAAACCCCCGCCATCAGCCTGTTTTCATTTGCCTCCCTACCCAAGAAGCCGAGTTCAAAAATAAACCTCCGTTCTTCCGGGTTCTCATTCATCAAGGTGCCGCTGTACGATGTCAGAAAAGGGAAGGCTCCGGCGGCCTTCTCCACCGGTGATTTGCATCTGTTTTGAACAGCGTTTGCAGGCCGCAGCTCTTCACAGTCAAGCAGGAAGCGTTTCCTAGATTACCCTGCGGTGTTTATCTTCGACGGCCTGGTGTTCCAAGAACCATCAATTTGCTGTTTCCTTGGGTTTCCTTGAAACTGGGCACCTCTGTGTGCCGTTGTCCCCACAGGGATCACGGCTAGATTTCAGCTCTGGTGCAGCCTGCGTGCGGGGTGAGCTCCAGAGAGCCGCTCCCTGGGGCCTCTCCCAGGACGGCAGCCAGGTCCCCGCGAGTCTGTCGCCCTTTCTGGAGCTGCAAAGCCGGCCTAGAGGACGGGCCCTCATTTGCTCCCAGCGCACACAGGCAGGCCCAGGTCAGGTCTGAGAGCCCCATCGCGAAGCCTTGATTCTGTCTTCACGGGGATAAAAATATTCCTGTCCGGGCCTCACCCTCCTTTAATAAACAAATCAGTGAAGCCCCAGCAACCCCGGGGGTGTTTTCATTGGCACCTCACCTAAGAGTGCCGGCCACCCACCCAGGCCGCTCCCCAGAGTGGGAAGGAGCTGCCAGGGCCAGAAAGCCTCCTGGTCATCAGAACCGAGGGGCATGGGTGCTGGTGTGGGGGCTGCTCAGGAATCAGGGTGCAGGCCTCCCAAGTCCGTGCACCTTCTTACTCTTCCTGCTCAGACCTCCAAGGTTGCTTTCCTAAGAAAGCCGCACAACAGCAGGAGAACTGAGGGTTCAAGCAAGAATAGACCACGTCTGAACATCAACTCTTCTGCTTCTGAGGCTCCAGCCCTTCCCAGTCCCATCTTGGTGGCCACAGCCATGCAGTGGGGACGCAGCCATCTGCCTTACAGGTCATTTCGAGACTCGAGGATGATGATGAGAAAAATTCCATTACGTAGGAGAGACCCCTTCAGAGGTGGAGTTGAGCCACCAGGGAAGGTTTGCCTGTCCAGGTGGACTTGGGCAGGGCAGCCCGTCCCTCCCTTCCAAGACCTAGCTGACCCTGCCCATTGGGTCTGCAGAACAGCTCCTTTGGCACCATATGGAGACCCTCTATGTGTGGGTGTGTCCCTGGAATGTTCTAGCCTCCCCTTTGAACTTGGTAGGATCTAAATTTGGACACCCAGCTTTATCACTCGTGCTTGACTAAGCCATTTTATGTTTAAGGCTTTTGGAGATTTCATCAGGGAAAGGTCTGAAGCAGATGTCCCATGGGACAATATGAACAGGTCGGCATCCCTCCCCGCTCACCCATGCTCTGGAAATGGGGGTGGGGGCAGAGCTCCACTCACTGTCCTGTGCCCTCAGGGTTCACACCATGGACTGGAGTCGGGATGCTGCTTCTCCCCTCTCTTCCGTCTGACAATGAGTTTGGGCTTTGGGGAGGAAGAGACAGAACATGAGATTTCGGAAAGGACTGCTGGGCTGCCTGAAGAGAGATTTGCCTCCAAGAGGGGACACTGCTCCTCACCCCTTCATCAAAGCATGGCTGTGACGTGAGAGTGTGTATTCTAGCTACTTCAGAAGGCAAGTGTTAGCTTCCCCAGCCTCATCGCACACACACAGCAATACAGATAACGTCTGTCGTGACCTGAAAATATTTTTAGCTCCATGAGGCCCCGCTGACTTGACCTGCCAAGATGGGTGAGGCTCTCAGAAGAGAGGTCATCGTCAAGCTGGAAGACCCATCCTTGTGAATTCAGGGGCTTCTGACAGATAAGGAGACGAGAAAGCAATTAAGTGGACTCTGCACATTTTTTAAAACTGAAAGAACCATGGCCCTGTGTTTCTTGGAAACCATCATCTCTAAATTTAATCTCAGTTCAACTTTTGCAGTGCTTAAGGAGTTTAGAAAGATTCGTGAGCTGTGACCTTCCTCGAGAAGGCAGCCCTCATTATCTCTCTGCTGCCTTAGCATCTTTCCTGCTGACTGTCCCAAGTTACCCTTCACCACAGCACAGACAGAACCTGGGGCTAGCACAGGGGAGAGGAGGGAAACCGATTTCTCTTCCTCAAAGTTGCATTTCAAAACCGTCCTCCCAACAGCTGTCTTAAAAAATGTCACTCACATCTGCAACTAGGTAAAGGCTGTGGATAAAAGGGGTTTTTTTAGTGGTTTGCTCCTGCCTTCAAAATGCTTTTTTGGGACATGCATCACAGTTGAGGGTCAAAGGACATGGGTACAGAGAGACAGTGCGGAGGCTTTGGCCATAACCCCAATGCACTCTCACCCTCAGCCTGAGCCAGGCTGTTCTATTTTTATCACCTCTGTTTAATCTCACATCACTCCAGCGGTTAACCTTTTGCAGAAGATGAAATCGGAAAACAGGTCAGGTCGTCTAGCAGGTGCACCAGCCAAATCCCCACAGCGAACGCCGAGTGGGGCTGACTGTTCATGAATGGCCACAGCGATATTCTGTTGCCTCACATTCCCTGCCACAGCCTCTCCCCGTGAACCTGGGGTGGGTTCCTTGTCACTGCCTCAGTAGAGTGCAGGAAAGGTGACACTCTGTGACATGAGGCCGAGTTATGAAACACCACAGAGCTTCCATCCGTCCCTCAGAATGTCCACCTTAGGAGGGCAACTGCCATATTGTGAGGAAGCCCAGGTCACTTTCTGAAAGGCCTGGCTCTTCGTCTCCCCTCTTCGTTCTGTCACAGTTACCTCCCAGGTCACTGTCATGCCCCTTAGAAGCTATGCAAAAGAGAGGGGTATGGATGAAGGTCCTAATGCTACTTCTGAGCTGCATCTTTGCTTCTCTGAAGTCAACACCTACTTGTCCCTTTGCATTTTCTGAGACTGGGACCAGGAGCCTGCTGTCTGGCTCTGGCTGTCTGCCCTGCTTGTCCAGCTTCCTCACAATATGGCAGCTGCCTTCCTAAGAAGATGCCTCTCCTCCATGGAGAGCCTCACATGGGCAGGAACGAAGGCCTGACATTCCCAGCCAGCTTCCTCTTGGCAGCCACGTGAACAAACCCTCCAGTTGAACCACAGAGGCAAACCGTCTCCACCAAGCTCTGCCCAAGTTACAGATTCATGAGCTAGACTGTTGTGATTTAAGCCACTAAGTCTTGGGTGGTTTGTTTGCAGCAACAGCCACCAGGCTCCAGCTTTCACCTTCTGTTACTGCAGTGCGCTCGGCCGGCACCTTCCATTGGCCACTTTCTGAAAGGCCTGGCTCTTCATCTTCCCTCCCAGGTCAGTGTTATGCCTCTTTGAAGCTACGCAAAAGAGAACGGGACGGATGAAAATCCTAATGCTGCTTTTGAGCTGCATCTTTGCTTCTCTGAAGTCAACACGTACTAGTCGTTTTGCATTTTCTGGGGCCGGGACCGGGAGCCTGCAGTCGGCCTCTACCAATGTCAGATTCACAAGGAAGCCTCAGTCCCCTCCCCTGCATAGCCCTTCCAGTTTTAGTTTTATATTTTGGATTGTTTTTCTTAGAAGCCCTCCATAACTGTATGAGCCACCCACCCACACAAAAAGTCCAAGCTGCCCTGTTCTTGCCTCTTTCCAGATGAGAGAGCGTGAGTGGTGACCCCGCCCTCGTCGCTCCGAAGGGATTCCGCTGTCAGAACCGGAAGTCTCTGTCCCTGGGACTCTCCACTGCAGACTGAGGGGGACGTTTGACAATAAAAGGGTCAATTCATCAGGAAGACACAACAATCAAATGTGCATGGACATAAAGGAGCTTCAAAATGCAGGAAGCAAAATTCGGCAAAATTGAAGGGAGACAGATAAAATGCCCAGCCATGGCAATAACACCCCTCTCTCAGCAACTGATCGAACTAGACCAAAAAAAAAAAAGATCATCTGATCACCACCTCCACCTACTTGGTGGTACTGACAGTGCAGCCGCCTTTGCCAAGAAACTGTCCCAAAAACATCACCGCAGTTTATTTTCCCCACAGTGAGCAGCAGCTGCCTCAGGAATAAGGGGGCCTCTGCCCTCAGTGCATGTCAGACACCCTCAACTCCTGCAGCCTCTGTCAGAAGAGATGGCAAACCCCAGAACTTGCATGGAGAGCCCCGGTGAAGCCCGTCAGGATCAGAATGCTACTAGCGCCACAGAACTGGGCACTTTGTGTGTGCATGGGGTTGATGCTTGAGATAGAGGGAAAACCCCGTCGCTTCCCCTTTGTGGAGGAGACTCAGCCTTGGAAGCTGGGTTGCAGCGTGGAACCCGTGTGCCCCCAGGGTCACTCCTCATCTGAGCTGGCCTCTCCAGCTCTGGCTATAAATAACTAAAGGGCAGGCCTGCAGCCTGGAAGGAGACAGGACGCACGCTGCTTCCTTCTGCCTCTGTGGGCGAGGGGGCTCTGTCCCAACCCCAGCACAGTCCGGGTTGTACTCCATGAGAAGTGTCCAGGAGCAGAGAGACCTCTCCATGTGTGCAGGCCCCTGGGAGCAGCTGGCTGGGACACAGGAGTTGAAGGAGGCGCCTGAAGACAAGTGGTCCGTGGCTTTTCCAAAGAACCTTTCCTTTTTATTCCTGAGACAGTCTTGCTGTGGTGCCCAGACTGCAGTACAGTGGCATGATCACATCTTACTGCAGCCTCGACCTCCTAGGCTCAAGCAATCCTCCCACCTCAGCCTCCTGAATATCTGGGACCACAGGCATGAACCACTGCATCCAGCTCATTTTTAAATTTTTCTTTTGTAGAGGCAGAGCCTCACCATGTTACCCAATCTGGTCTCAAACTCCTGGCCTCAGGCGATCCCCCCGCCTTGGCCTCCCAAAGGGATGAGATGACAGGCCTGAGCCACCACCCAGCCAGGCCCTTCCTCTTAATCCCTGGCAGGTCAGTAGTGGCCTCAGCTACTGGACAGCGCTGGCCAGCCAGCATCCTAGGGAAGGAGACGCAGGGCAGCCCCTGCTGTGCTAACTCTCTTCCCCATCCCAGGGGCAGGGGGCCGACTCTGCTCTGGAGAGTTTTCGGGCACTCAGCTTCCTCCTCAGGGAGAAGAACTTGTCCCCCAGGACCTTGCGCAGCCCCACACTGTCATTGCTGCTGGGTGGGTCCTGCCTGATGGCCGGGAGCTGGCCCGTGAACATCTCCCAGCGGTCGAGGGCATCCACGGCTCTGTCCACCTGTGCCAGCTCCTCCTCCGCCACTTCCCGCTGCAGGGCCTGGATGCACATGGCCAGCCACCGTTCATGCTCCTTGATAGCCTCCGCAGGGCCCCCAAGTGCTGGCGGAGCCTCTGAGGCCACCAGGGAGCTCAGCCCTTCCTCTGGCTCCACCTCTGGCCCCGAGGAGAAGGCATGACTGCAGGCTTCAGGGGTGAGGGGCTCGGACACGCTGGTGCCGGGCTCCGAGTCACTCTCGCAGCACATGCCCGAGTCAGCGCTGGCGGGCGGGGTGTCCTCCCACACCGACGGCTCCCCCGCCTCCTGGCTGGGCCATGTCCCTGCCACCGCCTGAGTCCAGGTGTAGAGTCTCTAAGAGGGAGAAACACAGGCTGAGTTTGCTCCCTGCCAGCCCTCGTCTAGCCAGGGAACTGCCAGGAGACCCAGCTCCTTACCTAAGGGGACCCCACCGTCCTCAGTTACCCAGGGGCAGGAGTCAGGCTGGTGGCGTGAGGGCTCTTCTGACCAGCAGCCTTTGAGGACTCACGTCCAGGCTGTGCCGAAGTCGGAGGTACCCACCCCCAAGAGCCCACCATTCAGGAACTTCATAAGCTACTTGTTATCCACAGTTAAAGAATAGAGCACTTACAGTTTGTTTTGTTTTTTTTGAGATAGTGTCTCACTCTGTCACCCAGGCTGGAGTGTAGTGCTGTGACCTCGGCTTACTGCAACCTCCACCTCCCAGGTTCAAGCAATTCTCCTGCCTTAGCCTCCTGAGTAATGGGGATTACAGGTTCCCACCACCACACCCGGTTATTTTTTATAGTTGGCCAGGCTAGTCTCAAACTCCTGACCTCAGGTGACCCACCCACCTCGGCCTCCCAAAGTGCTGGGATAACAGGCGTGAGCCACAGCGCGTACCCAGAAAGTATACATAATTAAATAAAATTTTAAATTTTAAAGCAAAGGTCCGGGCATGGTGACTCACGTTTGTAATCCCAGCACAGGGAGGCAGAGGCAGGAGGATCACTTGAACCCAGGAATTCAAGACCAGCCTGGGCAACATAGTGAGATGACAAGGGGAAAAAATAGGAAAAAAAAGCAAAAGGAATACTTGAAACTCACTTCCTAAATGTTTTCTACATCTCACTCTTACCTCTGCTCTCAAGGTTATTCTCCTCTCCTGCATCTGTACAGGGGACATGCAGTTTAACAAGCTCCCACTGCACACCTCTTCCCAACTCAGCGCTCACTGATATCCCATTGGGACCTGACATCAGCCATAGTGGGACTGTTTACACCACAGGAAGTGGCAGAGACCACAAGTCCGGTTTTCTTTGAGAACATTCCGCTGATTGCTTTCAATGGACAGCAGTGACCTTTTCTGGCCAGGCCCTTGGTCGGCTCTCCAGCACCAGCCATAGCCCTGGGACAGCAGGTGACCTCACATCCGCACCGCTCCCCTCCCTACAACAGCAAGGAGGGCCAGGCCACCCTGGAGTGCCTTTGCCTTGGCGCTTTTCCCTCCACAGCCACGGGCGATGGTGCTCGTGGAAGGGAGAGCTCTGGGCAGAAGGAGGAGCTGCACCCTCCAGCTCCAATCCAGGCTATGCCAGGTCAGCACGTGTAGGGAGGGGCACACACGTTATAAAAGTTCATGTCAGATGGTTGCACAAGACCCCAAGTGAAGGCATCAAAGAGAGCTCTCAACCCTTTCTGCAGACTAAGCTGCCCTTCTGCCTGTTACACAGCCTCACCAGGGTACTAAGAGCTGCCCCTCGATAGGGCACAGCTGGCAGCAGCAACCTTTACAAGGCGTCATCAGGTGCCAACCGGCCATCATGCCGCCTGCACCCTCAGGAGACGCTCCTACCCTCAGCCGTGGCTGCGCCTGGGCTCCCCCCAAGTCATAGGCGCCTCTCAGCCTTCCACTTGGGAAGGCTGCTTCCTCTGTGCCCCCTTCACCTTCCCTTTACTGCCAGAGTCTTTGAAGAAGATCCCTACAGAGAGATTCCAGCACTGTGAGCTGGAAATGCCCCAGCCTCTAGTTCAGTAGTGTCACCCAGGAGCCCTGCGCGTACCGCTCCTCCCTCTGCCCCAGAAGGAAGGCGGGCACGGCCGGGCCCTGCAGGGGGTTCTGACAAGCTGAGTCTGGGAACTACACTCCCACCTGCCTCCACGGCCTGGATCCAGCACCAGACACTCCCACCTGCCTCCACGGCCTGGACCCAGCACCAAAAGGAGGAGGATGCAGGGGCTTCCCAGCGCAGTTTCATTGACTGCTCTTGTGCTTGTGCACAGTGCGCACCTGATAACTGGTTTTCATCCAAAGGTGGGTTTAAAGAAAAATTACCACCACCTGCCTTTGCACTCAGAACTCAGAGTACAACTTCCGAGCCTGCAAACAAATCTTCCCCCATGAATACAGACAAGCCATTTGCTCAGCAGCCCCACCCCGGGTGACAGCAGAGGGAGTTAGGAATGGAGGCCGCCTCCAACACAGCCTTGTTCTGTCAGCTCCCACCTCCTCCCAAGGAGCCTGTGCCTCCTCTGAGCAGCAGTGACCCAAGTGTTGGTGGCGGGAAAGAAAAGAGCAAGTTACCCTGGGAAGACCGTGCCACCCACCGGCTGCACCAGGAAGGCCCCATGCCGCTGCAACCTCCTGGCCGCAGCCGCCACATGCGGGCACTGGCAGGACTCGACCTACCGCCGGTGAGATCCGGATGGAGCTCAACCCCAATGCAGGTCCCGGGGCTCTGCACTGCCTGGAACCCGGCAGTTTGACAAAGCGTGTGCGCAGTCCTCGTGCCCTGCGTGGTCTCCAGGTGGCGCTCGCGGGGCCTCCAGAGCACAGGTCCCAGCAGCCGGGCAGCGCAACTCGAGCAGCGAAACTCGGCAACTCACCTGGTACCTCTCGATGAGCCTGAAGCCCAGGATGTGCTGCAGCTTTCGCAGACAGATGGGACAGAGGTCCAGGGGCCGCCGCAGGGCCTCATCCAGGCTGAGCGCACCCTGCATGAGGCAGCGGAGCCAGCGGCAGTTCCCCAGGCCCAGAAGGTGGCAGAGCTCGTGGCACGTGACCTGGGGGGAAGGCCACCAAGCACCTTGCCTCACCGCCTTGCCCCCGTATCCGGCAGATCCCCAGGCAGCCCTAGCAGGGCCAAAATGAGGACCTGGGTGAGGCTGGATGGCCTGGAAGTGGTCCGGGCGCCCTCCCCCTGCCCCAGGCGGCACAGGCGTCAGCCCGCATCTCTGGCAGGGCTGCATTCAGGGCCCCAGGGGAAGGGTGAGTCAGGATACGCCGCCCTAGGGAGGCCACACAGGATCGGGGCTTGGGGCTCTAATCCCTACCCTGCTTCTTCATAGCTGTGTGGCCTTGGTTTCCTCATTCCGTAAAGTTAGGGGTCCACCCGCTTCACAGTGAGGATGGGGCGGTGTAACGGACTGACGCAGCGCAGGCTCAGCCAGCACCCTCCCGTCCCCTCTTCCCAGTCCCAGAGCCCCCACCCACCTTGCAGCACTGAACCATCCCCAGGGCACTGAAGCACAGGGCCCAGCCTCTGTCCTGCAGGGGGGCCTCAGGGCCATCTGCTGCTGCCTCCACCAAGGCTGGATCAGGGGCGCTGGGCCCCGACTTCGGGAATTCCCCCGAGAACCGGGCGAAGCTGCAGACGCCCACTTCTGGAGAGAGATGGTGAGAAGGGCACGCTCAGGGGTCAGCCTTGGCTCTAGGGGGCCCACCATCAAACCCACCTCATGCTCTCGTGTAAGCCGGCCATGGCCTAACAATACTTAGGTCCTGGGAGGCCCTGTCCTGCCCACATGAAGATGGGCCCTGGGGCAGAGGCCACGGCTGAGGAACAGCCCCTACGCCACCCCTCAGGAGGAGCTGGAAGGGGCCGCCTATTCCCATGTGTGGGTGTTCACTTCCACCACGAGGGTGCCCTGCAGCCCCGGGGGCCACGGCCCCATGCTAGGCTGCCCCCCAGGCAGAGCTGCCAGGGCCCCAGCTCACCGTGCCCTGGAAGGAACTTGCTGAAGGTGAAGCTCCAGGCCTCGTGGGGGTACAGGTCGGACAGCGTGAGGCCCAGCACACACAGTGCGTCCCCTGGCTTGTTGTTCTTCAAGAAGGACAGGATGCCGTCTGCGGGGAGAGGGCCAGGGGATGGGGTCAGGAGGCAGCCAGGGACCCCTATCTGCTGAGCTCAGGCTGGCACACCCTGTCATCCTCTTCCTCTGCCTGGGCCCCTTCCCAAGTCAGGTGTGGGCCACCTGCGTTTGGTCTGACCTGAAGGCACACGGTACTGCATGATGGGGAGTGAGGGCCAGGGCCATTGGAGATCAGGACAGGGTAAGTCTGAGAGGCCATGGACAGCCCAGTGAGGGTGCTGGAGAGACAGCCCGGCCGACAAGACTGGCGCTTGCAACCCCGGGAAGGAGAAGCTGCCCCAGCAGCTGAGCGACAGCCCCAGAGATGTCCACATCCCAGCCCTGGGACCCGGGAGTCCCCACAGCAAAAGGGACTGCAGATGATTAAAGATCATGAATAGGGGGGGCGGTATTCTGCATCAGCCAGGTGAGCCTGATGCCATCACAAGAACCCTCGCTAAGGCCGGGCATATTGGCTCACACCTGTGACCCCAGCGCTTCCGGAGGCCAAGGTGGGTGGATCACCTGAGGTCAGGAGTTTGAGACCAGCCTGGCCAACATGACAAAACCCCATCCCTACTAAAAATATAAAATGAGCTGGGCATGGTGGTGCATGCCTGTAATCGCAACAACTCAGGAGACTGAGACAGGAGAATCACTTGAACCCAGGAGGTAGAGGTGGCAATGAGCTGAGATCGCACCACTGCGCTCCAGCCTGGGCAACAGAGCGAGACTCCATCTCAAAACTGAAAAAAAAAAAAAAACCCCTTCGTTAGAGGCAGCAGGGGGTCTGAGTGAGAGCACAGGGCCTGAGGGGGCTGCAGGGCTGGCTCGGAGGAAGGGCTGTGAGCCAAGGATGCGAGTGCCTCTAAAAGCTGGAAAGGGCTAGAAATGGATTCTCCCCGGAACCTCCGGAAGGAACCAGCGCAGCCGACCCTTGACTTTAACCCAGAGAGGCTCCTGACCTGCAGAGCTGTAAGACCACAGTGGGTCATCCAAGCTAGCAAGTTGTATAACTTGTTAGCATGGTTCCCAGGAGCGTGAGTGTGGACAGATACAGGAGAGGCCCAGCGGCTGAACCTGGGCACGATGACGTCAAAGCCGGGAAACCAGGAGCCCAAGGAGGGAAGGAAGGAGGCAGAGCAGCCACTGCGGGCCCAGGAAACCCGGAGAGGGTCTCAGAGTTACTGCAGAGAGGAGGGTTTGGGGCATAGAGGCATGCGGGGCAGAAAAGTGTTTTCCAAGGAGTTCTACCATTAAAAGGAACAGATTGCCAAGGAGGTGTGTGTGTGTGTTTTGAGACGGAGTCTCGCTCTGTTGCCCAGGCTGCAGTGCAATGGTGCAGTCTCAGCTCACTGCAACCTCCGCCTCCTGAGTTCAAGCGATTCTCCTGCCTCAGCCTCCTGAGTAGGGGGGATTACAGGTGCACGCCACCACACCCTGCTAATTTTTGTATTTTTAGTAGAGATGGGGTTTGTCATGTTGGTCAGGCTGGTCTCAAATTCCTGACTTCGTGATCCATCTGCCTCACTTCCCAAAGTGCTGGGATTACAGGTGTGAGCCACCGCACCCGGCCCTGTGTTTCTGAGACAACATCCCACTCTGTCACCCAGGCTGGAGCGCAGTGACACAATCACAACTCACACTGCAGTCTTGACCTCCTGGGCTCAAGCGATCTTCCTGCCTCAGACTCCTGAGCAGCTGGGATGACAGGCATGAGCCACTGCACCCCACCCAAAAAGGTTTAAATTATGAGTTTTCAGTTTAAATTATGAGTTTTTTACATTGCCTTTCGTATTAACTTTTCAATTCCGATATGTATTTTCCATTTACTGCACATCTCATTTCAGACCAGCTACATTTTTTGTGTTCAGAGCCACAGGGGGCCAGTGGCTACTATCTTGGACAGTGCGGGTCTAGGGTATGACCTTGGGAAATGAGTGATGGGTCTTGGAGGAGAGGCCAAGGAACTTTTGCTAACAAGGTGATGATGATTGATTGAGAATGCCAACAAGGTGATGATGACAGTGATGATTGTTGTTAACCAAGTTATGTCCCCCCAAAAGATGGGTGGAAGTCCTAACCCCTAGGACCTATCATTGTTTGGAAACAGGATCTGTGCAGATATAATCTAGTTAAGATGAGGTCATTAAGGAGACCCAATGACTGGAGTCTTAGAAGAGACTCAGAGGCACATGGTGTAAAACTCACATGAAGTCAAAGGCCGAGATTGGAGTTGTACAGCTGCAAGCCACGGAGGGCCGAGCATTGCCAGCAGCCTCCAGAATCTGGAGGCAGCCAGGGAGGACCCTCCACAGAACCTTCCAAGGCCGCATGGCTCTGCCAAAACTTTGGTTTCAGAACCGCGGTCTCCAGCAATGTGAGACAAGAAATGTCCCTAAGCCCCCCAGTTTGTGGTACTTTGTTACGGCAGTCCCAGGAACCCAATACAGTGATCCAAAGCATGCTACTCTCTGGGCAAGATGGCAGGACCCCATCTCTACAACAATACAAATAGCCAGGTGTGGTGGCACGTGCCTGTGGTCCCAGCTACTCAGGAGGCTGAGGCGGGAGGATCGCGTAAGCCCAGGAGTTCAAGGCTGCAGGGAGCTATGATTGCACCACTGCGTTTGAGCCTGGGCGACAAAGCAAGACCCCATCTCTAAAAAACAACAAAGAAAAATTAAAAACCAGGCTGAGCTGACCATACAAATGCAACCCGGCATACCCTCTGAGTTCCACCTGCTTTTGAAGCTTCCCGGGTGCACGTCCTTTCCCCCCAGTTTTTTTCCCCGAGGGGCTCCCCTGTGCACCTTCTGAAGTGCGGGGCTGGGGGAAACAGCAGTTCGTTCACTAAGCAGAGCAGGTGAAAAGCCCTGCAGTGACCCTTGTGGGACTCACTGCTATCTCTGAGCTGCCACAGTCCTGTCACAGACAGGACGGAGGCCGTAACAGGTGAGGTGCACTGCATACAGCATGGGGGAGGTGGAGAGAGCTGAGGTTGCAGAGGCCGAGCCTGAGAGGCCCAGGGTCCCCAGCTCTGTTTTAGGGCCAGGGCCAAGGCAGGCCACACTGCCCCCAGACCTCACTCTAGGACCTCAGGGGCGGGGGAAGCCCATGGAGTGTCGGCTGCACCCAGAAAGCAGGCTGGGACACAAAAGAAACGTACCACTCAGGCGATGGCACCCCAGCCCAGCCAGGGGATCCCTGTCAACCCCCAAATGTCAACAGTGGCTGCTCCCTGTAATGGTACACTAGGGAATTTAGACAACCCTCCTGCCAAAAGATGGTCAGACGGGCAGAGAGAATGACAACAGCTGCTTCAAACACCCAAGATGGGGAGGAGTGGGTTACGGAGGAAGCCTCGGCAGTGGTACGGGGTAGACAGCTGCCCTTTATATGACAACGGTGATGGCTACGTGATGTACACAACTGTCAAGACTTCAGAACCGTACACTAAAAAGGATGAATTTTACTATCTAAATTACACCTCAACAACCAAGGCAGAGACCTAATGAGAAAAACGGGGAGGATTCGAGCTCAAACAGATGAAGCTGGACTGTTTCTGGGGTGGGGGAGTGGACAGAATGACCCTAATGACATGCCTTCTACCCTGGGAGGGATGCGGAGCCCTGGGGACCATCAGAATGACCCAGACAAGCTTCATGTCTTTGTCCCACAGTCAGCCCTTTGGTGCCCTGGCAGAAGGAAAAGAAAATCCTCTGTGGTGAAAAACATCGGCCTGGGCCAAAAATTCTCAAAGTTAAACTAATTTTTCCAATAAGATGCCTAACAATCGAAAATAAGGCACAATGAGGCAGGATAACTGAGACAAAATTAGCAGAAATAACAAATACAGGCACATGGGCACTCCAGATTAGTGCAATCATCGGACAGACTGTCAAAAGCAACTATGTTCATGGACATCAATGCTGAACTTAAAGAAATGTCAGAGGCAGCTGAGACCCATAAAAACAGGACACTGCTAATTTGAAAAAGAATCCACTAGAAACTACAGAACTCACAAACATGACAACTGAAATTAGGAACACAATATACGGGGGGTTTGTTGATTTTTTTTTAGATGATGGGGTCTTGCTCTGTCACCCAGGATAGAGGACAGTACAGTAGCTCACTACAGTTTCAAACTCTCAGCCTCCCAAGTAGCTGGGACTATAGGTATATGCCACCACTGCCGGCTATTTTTATATTTTTTGCATAGACAGGGTCTGGCTTAGTTGCCCAGGCTGGTCTTGAACACCTGCCATCAAGCTATCCTCCCACCTCAGCCTCCCAAAGTACTGGGATTGCAGGTGTGAGCCACCATGTCCAGCCTCAATATATGGGTTTAAGAGTACCTTAGATGAGGCCAGGCGCGGTGACTCACACCTGTAATCCCAGCACTTTGGGAGGCCAAGGCAGGCAGATCACGAGGTCAGGAGATCGAGACCATCCTGGCTAACACAGTGAAACCCCGTCTCTACTGAAAATATAAAAAAAAATTAGCCAGGCGTG